TATATTACAAGGTATTGAAAAGTGCTTGTAAGTTCTGCTCTTTAACCTGTGTTTTCGATCCCATCACCATTTTATCTTATGATGAAAGAAAATACGTGGGCTGAGCGGATTCCCTGATTCACATAATTAACCCAGTTCCAAGTCCTACATAATTTGTGTAAAGAGAATTAAGTAACGAATCACTTGTGAAAAGTATAACTAAAATTGAATTTTAAAAAAAGGAACTCAACAACCTCGGAGAATGCAGCTTGTTCAGGTACACAGTGCAGGACGACAGACAACCGATAAGCGAGAGAACGCCATTCGTTATTGAAGATGACTTTTGTTAGATTCCATACGGTCGCTGCAAGAATTGTAACAACCAACTTACTTTTACTTTAAATGTTACTTTTTCCGGCTTCTCTTATCTTGCAGTGTTAATAAAAGGAGAAGCTTAACGTTTTTCTCTTGTTTGTTGAATCGCCTGTTGCTTGGTTATAATATTGTTTTTGTCTATAGCGCGGTCAAAAATTCGTGGCGCAACTTGTCCTCAAATATCTTTTTAACAGTTGAATCATTGTCACCCATACTTTGCACAGCAGTGTGTATCAATTTGCCTTGATTAACTTAACCATATTTTCCCACAACAATTGAGGCTAAATTAAAAAAAAAAATTTCTTCACTAATTTATATAAAATACTATAATTTTCACGTGGAAAATGGAATTGTTCACAGCACTTCCCGCTTCCCACACACATTGTGTATACGCATATGGCTCACCTATGACCCTTTTTAATAGCAAAACTAGTTACAAGAAATTAATTTTATAGCGAACACAATTTTACACTAAAAGTTCTCAAAACATGCGTTGAATAAAGATAATATCGCGATTAGAGAAAAAAAAAAGACAGACTTGCACAAATTGCACACGGGACCTCCGAGATTTTTCGCCCTTATCCGAGAAGGCTAGGTTTTGATCTTTCCTACCATAAGATCAGGGGTGTGGCTGAAAGACAGCAGTAAGAAAGAGCCAAGGAGTAGCAGTAGAAAGGCTGCAGAAAGACGCAGGAGCCCAGAGGAGGGGGTAAATGAGGTTAAAGGGTGGATGGGAGCAGAAAGTGGAGACGAAAGCAGACGAGACAATATTGTTAGAGAGCAGGAAAGGAGGTGAAAATAGACAATTTTTCCTTCGCTACTCGGATTTGAACACGAGGCCTTTGAATGAGAGGCGAACACCTTAACCTCTAGGCCACGAGAGCACCCGATGTGAAAGGAGAACATTTTTAGAGAAGAACATTTTCAGTCGTTGTCCGGATTCGAACCCACGACCCATAACATTTAGTCCCCTAAAGCCGCCCCCCCCCCCCAAGTAGATGTTTAAACAGAGCCAGAATCATTTATGTATTTGAAAGAATGAACCAGTGTGCATGAAACGCTGATTTAAATCTTGGTATATTGGTGAAGCGCCTGGAGCCACCTGGGAGTGGGCGCCATAGAAATGATCTTCTTCTTCTTCTTCTTCTTCTTCTTCTTCTTCTTCTTCTTCTTCTTCTTC